TACTGACATAAATGAACATTTGCACGATATTCTAATTTTTCGAGTTTCACCTGTATATAGGCTTCTACCTTTTTTCCATCGCTGTCATTGTAAACCAATTATATTATTTCTTAGTTCAGCCACAGTCTAAAACTGTATTGACTATACAAGGTCAGAATCAGTTTCAGACTGGTTTAAATATTGGGGCTTCCTTCCAAAAGATTCTGGAATTGTCAAATAAGAACTGTTTATCTTCTTGTAGAAGAATCATACCCAGTGGTCCAAGAAAAGGAGCTATTAAGGTCATGTAATTCTGGGGAATTCTCATTTGAATTTTCAGTATAATTTAGAGTATTAGTCTGATTTGAGTTGGATTTTGCTATAATTCAGAAAATTGATCTAATCCTATTATTTGCATTATCTTAGGTACTATATCACTTAAACTACTAAGCTTGTATCATACTGTAGATACACCAGTAAAGGGCAACTCTCAACTAAGAAGTTATGACAAAAATGCAAGCATTAATAAAATGCACGTATACAGTACGTGGCTCATGTACTAAGCACTTGCATACATTACCTTTGTATTTTATTCATCTCAGTAACCATCCTACTCTTGAAGTAGCTCCGTAACACAATAAATCCATGAGTCAACATCACCCAGTGACTCATGCATATTTAGTCGTGCTTTAGTTGTACTTGGTTGTCTTAGTTTAAGTTGACTGCTATTACCATGGACATTATGTTGTCCCCCTCACTTTTAAAAGAGAGGCATAATTGCTATGGCAACAAATACTGATGATAAACAAATGGCAATCATTTCAGTAAAGTGCCTTCTATTTCTCTATTCATAGAGAAAATGTTTTTGCCCCTCAAAATTGTTGAGTTTCATACCAAAGTAATTAGTATTTTCTCCTTTTATTTATGGAATAATGTGTAGGTAGTGATAAATGGCCATAGCAACTAAAATGTTTGGGCGCCGAGTTCTCCAAAAGAAAAACAGCACTTTGATAATTAACTTCCATTGAAAAAAAGCCAGTGCAAATTAAGTTTTTAACTGTGATTATTTGAATGGCAACCAATTCCTGGTTCTTCTTTGCAGTACGGAGAAAGAAGACAACAGAGATGTCTCTGCAAAACCTTATTTTGTACAATACATTAAATAATGAAATCAAGAAGATCCATTTGGAATTGCAGCAGGCAATTAAGAAAAAGGGTCCACAATGCACATTCCTACTTCACCAAGGACACAAGTTCTCACCCTTTGTTGTAAGCCTCCTCTTCTATCTTGGCTTTTGCCTCTGGGCTGATCTCTTCCAGGCCACCTACTGCTGATGCTGAAGGAGGGTGTTCACAATCCAGGTCACTATTTGGTTTTCCACTAACAAATTTAAACAGGAAAGTGATGCATCATTGCTTAGATTGCATATTAGGAGAATGAGGTATCTTTTTTCTTACTTCTCCTTTATTATGTTTAACCATCCTTGGGGTGGAAAGCCTAAGACTACCATATCCAGATGGGTTTCAGATGGCAGCAAAAAGGCAGAGTTTTCTCGATCTCTTTGCTGCCATCTGGCTGTTATCCAGATTTTTGTAGCCCAGATACAGTACTCCTAGGAAAGGCCAATTTCTTTCACATATTCTTACAAAAACGCCACCTAAACCAATTGAAATTGGAGAAAAAGATGTCTTTTGCAGTTTTGATTAGATACAGCATGATTTAGCAAACATTACATGTTTTCTACTTTTTGAGCTAAATTAGAGAAGATGTCCCAAATAGATCAGGATTGTGGAGTCCTTGGGGTTCTCTGAGCTTGGTTCTTTTCTTGCAAATGT